AGTAGATAGCCATTGAAATTGCAAATATTCATTTTAGACAATTAAAGTTGGCCGGAAAGCAATGAGCCGGAAGGTAGTTCCACAAGCAAGAAGTGCGAGAGAAGAAACTATTTACGGCTATATCTAGCCAACTCAACTGTATGAGATCTCGACGCCAGTCTTGTACTGCGCTTAAATTTAAAACGTCTAGGTACCATAGCGAAGAGCTCATCCGAACAATTACTATGAAAGTATTTATAGAATAGACACAGTTGAGGCAACTGTACAACGGTACAATAGTGACTAAAGCCGAGCCGCCAGATGAGGACCAATAATATTGCTGATTATTCTTTGGATTTTATCAAGGAGCTCAAGGTAAATTCATATGTGGCAACAATATTTTAAGCATGGACGAATGGTAGACTTATAAATAACATATTAAGTTAACACATAAATAAGAAGGCGTAGCATAAAATATTATTTTAACTTGGCATTTTATATACATTCCAGTCAAAATTCTTCTAAATCGACAAAATGATAACTTTGCTGTATAATCACCATTTAAAATTCTGGGATGGAATACCAACCACTGGCACAAAAAACAAAACAAAAAACGCAACTACTTTAGCTACTAAACAGACTTGAAATCTATTAACAAATCTACCTCAGTCTGTTGCTATCTCCAATTGTTTTATCAAAATGACATCAAGTAAAATGAAAAAGAACAAGACTAAAAGTTCTAAAAATGTCAACCGCTTTTAAAATCTGTTAAATTGTCAATTTTACTGGCGTCGCTTAATCACGTGACACTAGCACATTGTTTAAAACAACCAATCAGCGTGAGGAATGAACGTTTTCTGTGTCAATTAACAATTTCCTGTGCTTGACTCGGAAATATCAAGTTTTGTGGCAAACTTCTTCGAAATAAAAATAAGCAAAAGTATTAATACAAAGCAGAAAATAAATAAGGCGACGAAACTCCTAAAAAAAATTCGGTATTGCATAATATTATATTTCAGACTTAAAATGTTTGTTTCGTGACCGGTATGCGCATTTTCAACTGGAATGGTTTTCAAACCCAATTAAAAGGTGATAATTGTAATGCTACTTTTCCGTCTTCCCACTTCAGTTTTCTAACTTTTCGTAAACTATGTTTTGTTCATATTTACAAGGTCTATGAAAATAACCGTTATTAAAAAAATAGCCTATTTAGGGCAATGCCATCTTAGTCTCCATCAAATATTCGTTTTAGACAATCACACACTTATCCCAGTGTCCCTTCCAAAAAACATTCTGCAAAATCATCCTCCGTGTCGATACATTCTCCCTTATTGCTATTATTTTATGAATAGTTTTACTCCATTTAAATATTGTTAATTTTTCTCGCAATACCGACTGTCTGAAAATTTGATCAGCGCATGCGCACTGCTTCGTTCAACTGTCGTATTCTTCCTTTCGTTTCTTATGTTGAAATTCTTACATGCATGTTTGTGTGGTTCATTTTCTCTCCACACGTGATCAGCCTTGACTTATTTCAAATCTCTACACTAATAGAATCACTCAGCGAATTGCAGCTTTTCCTAAAGCTTTACTTTTTAGGAGCTGGCAGGACTTACATTGTTTGTCATCTCAGCTGCAACTGCATGGAAACGCGCATAGTTCGTGACCATATTTGCTTCCGGTGATGATTTAACCCTAAGGAAGGCCAAAGAGTGCAGCAGTTAGATCATTATTTAGATATAAACAACAAAGTCGAGAAGATGGTGTGAGTGGATGACAGTAAACTATTAGAAAAATGTCTAAACATAGCTGGTATCTGGTAATTTAATCAACCGAAAAAGTAATATGAAGAATGCATAGAACATAGCATACAGTGATTATAATTCTTCAGATCAGAGTAGCAGAATGTTGTTCACGGTGTGTGTGTGTGTGTGTGTGGGGGGGGGGTTGAAAACTTCCAAGCCCCTTAAACGAGGGCCCGAAAACACCAGAAAGAACCTCAGAAAAATAAAGAACATTTACTCCAAGACACATCTGTCCTGTGTATAGTCAGGTTCTTCCCTCCAGAGCAGATTTTGTTAATCGTATCAACCGCCATAGCCAGAATAGACAAGTGAGATTGCCTATAATTAACCAGCAACTAAAACAAAACACGTTCTTGCGTGCATTTAATAGCAAATCATATGCTGGCTTGAAAAAGGCATCTTTGTTCCCACGACAGTAACATTCTACGGCAAGTTGCATCCAGTGATACACCGAGCCTGTACGGCGTGGAAGAATTAGGAACAGAAACATTAATAATGATTGGGTAAAAGAGTAATCAGGATGACAGTAGATAGTGGTTGACATTGCATTTAAATTTCTGCAGATTAAAGTTGGCTGGAAAGCAATGAACCGAAAGGAAGTTCCACAAGCAAGAAATGTGAGACAAAAGACTATTAGCCTAGAATTTACGGCTACATCTAGCGGCCAGCCCAACTGTAAATTGAAGAGATCTTGACGCCAGTCTAGTACTGCGCTTAAATTAAAAAAAAAGACTAGGTAACATGGCGAAGGTACAGAGAGGCAACCTTGAGGTTGTAGGAAAATGACTGAAGCTGATCTGCCAGATCAGGACCAATAATATTGCTGATCCTTCTTTGGATTTTATCAAATTTGAAATCCTTTTAATATCAGTAAACACTGATTAACCTTTCCATGAAGAAATGTTAAGTTTCTTCCTCAAAATATCAATTGTCACTGATCGAGTAACCTGGAGTTGGAGTGTTAAAGTGATGTATGCATCACCGATTGACTCCATTTCTGGTGGTCATGGGATGGTGTTCGAGTTTCAGCAAAGCTCCTTCTTTTCAGCTCAGAGATATTGTCCACTCATTTGTTTTATTGTCTATCTCGACCAATTTTCCCTTGCACGGTTCTCGATTGACCATCTTGTCACGTGACTATCCTATCTAATCTTCAAACCAACCAAAATGCTGTCTGATAGTTTTCCCAGATTTTTTCATGTCATGAGATCCTTGTAGGAGATGAAATCTCACTCCCACTGCTTGAATCCTTTTCTGAAGTTCTGCCCAAAGAACCGAAAACTCACATGAATACAAGGAAATGGAACCAGTGAATGCAGGAATTTCATCTCTCTTCTTAGACTGATTTTTGTGTCTCTCCATTTGGGCTTCTGTCTTGCCAATTGTTGCAGTCTACATAAGTATTGCCAGTATTTCAGTCATGTACCTTTCTGTATTGAAGATGGTGTCAAGGTATTTAAACTGCTTCACTGTCTCCAACTGTTGTCCATTGACATGGATGTTAGTCTTGATTGGATCTTTGCTGTTTGATTTCTCAACACTGATCTCCATTTCATACTTGATCAACATTTCCTCCAAATGGTTCATCAGTTCTGACAGTTTTTTTCTGTCAGCTCATCAATATTATCAGTGAAATGTCTTCCAATGTTGACAGTAGCAGAGTATCATTCCAAAGCATCAGCCTTTAGACATTCCAGGAAAATGTTGAAGAGCCTAAGAGTAGAGAAGAAAATGGTAACATACTCAAAAGGCCCAAACCCTTTCGTGTCACATGCTGTTTTTGCAGAAAAAAAGAAGAAGAAAGAAACATACCTCTCCACTGAATGAAGTCTGCGAGTTTATGTAAATTAGCTTCTGTTAACCAATCATGGTTCAAGTGTTACTGAGTGGAGTGGATTGCATGGAAAAATATGCTAATCCATTTCCATGCTCCATGAAAAGCAAATTGTAAAGGGTCCAATAAACTGCTATAAAAGCAACTGACTTTTCCTGCTTGACTGAGAACCCTTGGTAGTTGTGTGTGTGTGTGTGTGTTGTGTGTGTGTGTGTGTGTGTGTGTGTGTGTGTGTGTGTGCACACGTTCATGTGTCTGTGTACAGTATACTTTGTAACTTTCTGAGCAATTGTATGCATTCTAATAGAATAGGAAATACAAGACAGCCTTGATTTGACAGAATCTAACTGAAATATGGAACCAATCATTGACAATTCTTTGAACAAACTTGTAGTCTATGTTATACATCTATATAATTGCATCATGTCATATTCAGTCTTCTTGAATGAAGATGTAGTACATGTTTTATTGTGTTGGCTTACAGAGAACACAAAGATTGAGTATCTAGTCTGTAGTGCTTTTTCCACTGCACAACATAACTTGTTCTTCTGCAATAACTTCTGTTCATGATCAGAGTCTGGTTAGAATTATTTTGAGCATCACTTTGCTTATGTGAAGGATCAAACTGACAGTTTTATAGTAAATATACATACCAGGAAAATATTGAAGAGTGTAGGAGTACAGAAGTAATCCTGGCCAGACTCCGTTTATGGACAGAAGTCATTACTGAAGAACAAAGAAAGAAGCGTTACAGAACATTTTCACAATCTTTGTGTACTCTTTGAGAAAAAAACAGCGAACACGTATTACATTTTCATTGACTTCAAAAAGGCATTTGGATGTCATCTTCTTCTATTTTATTAAAAGGAGAGAAATAGAGTTTATCTCCGGTGCTTAGGTAGGAAAATGCTAAGGAAGATGATTAATTTTTGTCCATAGTTTCACTTATGCGTGTAATTCCTACTTTAAATACGGCCTTGTGCCATACACCATACGATTGAGATTGCAGTTAAATATCTACATGCAAAATGATTGCAATGGAGTTTTTAGTCTGAAAGGAACATTAGATAAGTCTTTGGTTGACACAACTCCTCTCTGTTGTTGCTGGGGGTGTCATTTTTACTTCTTCAGTACCACTCTCCTTGTTGACAACAGCAACAACAACAACAATAATATTGACCTCTTCTTTGCTTTCCTCTTCTTCTCAAGTGATCAAAAAGATTTTCTTAATGAGGTTTTCTGGTGGTCGTATCAAATAAGCACTCGACATATCAGTGGGGAACAAAAAGGGGGTCAAGATGAATCTCCTGCCGTTTCTACAAAAAAGAAATGTAAATCCCACCATTAAGTGGTCAGCTGATTAAAGAGAAACCAAGTATTAAATGTTCTTGAGAAAAAACGCAGTTGCAACGGTAAAATCTATCTATCTATCTATCTATCTATCTATCTATCTATCTATCTATCTATCTATTAGAGAAATCTATGATGAATGTAAAAAAGTGTAAAAAAATTCTCGTGTGTCGCGTTTCATCCTATGGGACGTCATCGGATTAAAGAGATGTTTATGTTGATGCAACTAGACAATGACACGAAGGATAGGGGGCGCTGAGAATTTTAAATTTATTTTTTTGGTATTTTTTGTTTTGGGCATATAGTCTAGTGTATTTCATTTAGTTTCTTTTTTTTTTTTTCATCGGTATATAGAAACGCAACCTATTTTATTATTTTCATTGTGTGGTTAGCCATTATATATATATATATATATATATATATATATATATATATATATATATATATATATATATATATATATATGTGTATCTGTGTGTGTGTGTGTATGTATGAGTGTGTGTGTGTGTCTGTGTGTGAGAGAGAGAGAGAGAAAAAATTTCAGATAGAGTATATCTGTAAAAGGTTTGAATATAAATAAACCCAAACTGAGGTAAGTTTTCCTTTTGTCATTATTCATATATATATATATATATATATATATATATGGGGAGAGAGAGGGGGAGAATTAATACAAGTAAAAGTTTTGTCAATTAGTTGATTTATGTTGCTTTCTGCGTCCGAATCTAGAGTTTCATAGACAGAACCTCCGCCCACTCGTCAGTGGGTATCAGCAATATATATGCTTGTGTGTGCGAGGAGAGAAGGAATTGTTCGGCCATCGATGGTTGCCAAACTATCGATAAAGTATTGTGTCTACCTAATTTCACTCACATTCTAAGAATTCGGTCACGCGCTATATATATATATATATATATATAATTTCTAAAAAATGAATGGATTTTATTTTTTAATCCGCCATATTTTTATTACGTCAAACGTCATTTTTAGTGAATATCTGTATTTGGGTAGACGTTTATTTTAAACAGTGTTTCTTTCGTCTACCAGTCTGCGTTACTCGAGAAAATTAACCAGATATTCATTACGAGTAAAATCTGAAGGAGTGAGTGTAAATGCCAAATAGAACCTTTGCTTTATTTATTGAGAAGATCCTCTAGACCGAGCATTAAAGGTGCGAAGGTGGATACCTTTTCGAATCCTACCGGAGGGTACATTTTCTTTATTAGGTTTTCTCGGTTACGGCCACATAACGTTGAAAACCCGTACGATCGCCGAAGCTAAGCAACGTCGAGTTTGGTCAGTACCTGGATGGGTAACTGCTTGTGAATGCGAGGTGCTATGAGCTTGGATGTGCGGCTGATGTAATGGCTCGGAATTGTTAATCAGAGAGCCGAGTTCCAATTCCTGTTATATTCACTTACGCGCAAATCCCTTTGGGAAAGATATGAACCCTATCTCTTCTGTTCTCAGCTATGGGTCACTTAATAAGACTTGTACTTGTTTGAAGTATTTTCTGGTTTTAGATAACCTGCAAAGAGTTGATAAGTCGTAGTAAACGAATCAACCAATCAATCAATCAAGTAGTTAGGCCGGTAGACAAAATAAATACTGATTACAAGAAACAAAGCGTCTACTCAAATACTGGTATCTACTAAAATAAAAAATAATTCCTCTAAAAATAACGTATGATATCGCTTTCATTTGATTTGGTTTGGTTTACAGGATATCAACCTCAATGGGTTATTTAATGCCGGCAATATTTTTATTACTAGTAAAAATTTTTCTTCAAAAATTTATTGCTGGTAATAATTTTTTACAAAGTATTTCTGGTATTAAAACCTACTTTTACACTTTCATAATGTTTTGATCCTAGTTTGGGGTTTAACTATTTGCCCATAGCTGGAACCCTAACAGATGCAACCACCCCGAGTCAGGGTGGACCTGGGAACACCAGCAATTAAGATGTGGTTCCATACTTCTCAAAACCTGATCAAAGGCCTTGCTGTTGGATGTAGTTTATCGTCTTACCCAGGACGGGTATGATATCCCACATTGAGCCCTGGTGTCAATAAAATAGTGCTCGATGTCATATAACAGAGATATTAAGTATATATTAATAAATGTACATTTTTTCCTCGCTGGTAGCACGACTTCAGAGTTTGGGTGCACAACACAATATTTAGGTGCTGGTATGAGAAAAAAATGTGTATTTTTTAATAAAAAAGACGCTGGTTACAGTTTACATAGAAACAAAGACGCTCGGCATTTGCATTCAAATTTTGACGTTCGATGTAACCTGCTTCATTCAACTTTTTGTCGCTTTTATTTTTATCGTCATTGTTTTTAATTAACTCACATTGTATAAGTAGTGATTATGCGAGGAAAGGAGATGTGTTGTATGATACTGGACGTCTATATTCTGTAGAGAAATACAAACATTCCATCAATAAAACCGTTTGTTTGCTTGAAGAAGTTGATTTGGGAACACAACACTGTTTTCCGTTTTACCATTTATTTGCTAACATAAAATTCTTCGTCTTGGAGGAGAGAAACACTTAAATATGATTCTTCCCAAGAAACAAAAAGTCATGCTATTTCTGCTGTAACTTTTATTTACAGAAAAGCAACATGCTCAAATATTTATGTGCTTTAATGGTTCAGTATACAGCGGCTCTGAAAATTTTGACGGGAGTAGAATAAAATGTCACAGTAACTACGGTTTTATTTATCTACCATTTGCATTTAAATTCGATATATGTAATCGAGATTTCGACAGTCGGATTTGCCAAATATATGTGGGTGGCTTTATTAGTATCTGCCATAGGTACAGATATTGGCCCAAACATTTATGAACACATAAACAGAATAAAATAAAGATCGTTCGGGCGAAGTGGAAAGAACGTAAATGATGTGTTTTTTTTTTTTAATAGAAAGAGAGTATACTAGATAAAAAGTGTATAAATATGTTACATTCCTTCTCTCTGACACTGAAAAAGAAAAGTAGTGGATGTTAACAAAAGCTTGTTATTCACATATCCAGCAGGTCATATTGCAAGAGTCTGTATTTTTATCCACATGCCAGCAGCGCTTTATTAATTGACCGTTAAGGGTCACGTGACCGGCTAAGAACCGTGCATACTAATTGAGTGGAGGGTAGAGGAAAAAATGATAACAATACTACTTTTCAACTGATATTACTCAACAACCGTCGATTAATTTAAAATCCTTTCTTCATTAAATATTTCTGGTATTAGAAGGGAAATTATATGATCAAAAATACTATGTATTGCAAATTTAAAAAAAAAAAAATTCTAAAATATGTTTTAGTTGATTCTGTAACTAAGTTTGTATATTACGCGTTGAAAATCAGAAATGGTTGCCCGTCGTCAGGAATGAATGCCGGCCTTGTCGAAATAATTTTATGTATAACACATAAGTGATTTTTTTTTTTTTTTTATCGAGATAGATCGAAAACACGGAAATCACTACTTCTACGGAAAGCGTTCGGACGAACTACATTCCCTGGACCCACCAATTCAAGCCTTCACGTCTAGTATCAGCCATGCCACTTAGTAGCAAACCCCACCTACATTCCCTCCGTATTTTAGCGGTGAGAAGTAAGTTCCACTCTGACAGCTTCTTCCAGCGAAGCACTGCTCTGTGTAACAGACTCCCAAGAGAATGTTTCCGCAATCACTCCAATCTTAACCTGTTCAAGGTTAGTGGTAACCGTTACCTTCCCCACCTATCCGTACAAATTGCCCCCCTAACGTAACCCTCTACCTCGAGTGGTCTCCAGGTCTTATAAAGGATGAACCTTACTGTAGAAAAAGTGATTGTCAGTTTTCAAGACTTAATGCAAGTGCGTGTGTTACAATGGAAATGATAGTTATAGTATAAATGCTTTAGACTTTACCTTAGAGACACATTACAAATGGTTTAACTCTATAGCAATGCATTGTAGCGGGTTTTATCTATTGAAAATGTGGAAAATGTCAGTTGTCAGATATAAAGACGTATTATTAACAAAACTATTACGTGTGTGCACGGGCATGTGTGTGTGTGTGTGTGTGTGTGTGTGTGTGTGTGTGTGTGTGTGTGTAAAGAAAGTCACCAGATTTATGATTTATCTTTTCTACAGTCCACCCATTCATAAATTTCGTGTTGTACGGGTAGCGCTCTTGGGTACCACCCCTAATAGAACTTTATCGGTAAATTTCAGCCTTTCATCTTTTATTGCCAAGCCATCTTTTTTCTTTCCTCAATTCCATCAAAGTATTTTAATGGATTCTTACCAAGGGAGGAGGTTGGGGGTCCATCACTCCTCGTTCACCATTACACCACAAATATTGCTATTTCTTAAATTGTTGGTTTATTTCTCGTCTTGCCTTTTATGATTTTTATCTTCCACCATAAAACTAACTCTAACCCCACCCCGGGGCTGTATGTGGGCGCGCGTCTACATACATATATTTAACTGCCGGTTTTTGTGTTTGTACATATATGTGTGCATATACATGTATGTGTGTAAATTTGCCTGTGTACGCGTGTGCGTGCATCTCTGTACAACAGTGCGTGTGTATGTGTATATATGTGCGTATGTATACATCTATATGTTTATATCTATCTATATTTCCGAGATGAGGTATTGTAATTATTTACACTATTAACATTGTTCGGACTGTTGTCCTCATTTTTGTTGTCATATTCACGACATTTCGGCCGTTGTACGCTCCCAGCCTTCTTCAGGTGATTGGATTTTCGAACTGAACCCTTTGTTTCGTTTACCGGTTTGTTCCATGTTTTTTTTTTTTTTCTATTATCTCCCTTTAACTCAACTCTCCAGGTTTTTGTTCACTACTGCAGTAGCCAGGTATTGAACTCACAACTCCTTGGGTCAAATCACTGGATTCAATCAACGCTTTTATCCACTGGGCCACTTGGAACTAGAACAATCCTCACCCCGTGGACGAAATAAAATGTTCAGTTCAAAATTCCAATCATTGAAGAAGGCCTGAGCGTACAATGGCTGAAACGTCGTGAATATGGCAACAAAGATGAAGACAGCAGTTCGAACAATGTAAATAGTGTAAATAGTCTATATTTATGTTCGTGTGTTGGCATGAATGTGTGTAGTATGC